GGATTATGATGATGGCATCTAAGCAATCAAGGGAATCAATGGAATAAACCACGCATACAAAGCTACAGCAGTACACGATTCCTCAGGAATCTGGCGCTTACCCGAATCATTTTCATGCGACAACGGGATCTGCAGTCAAACTCGCTGTCCTCTCCCTCCTCAACGTCACGGCACGCCGTTCCAGGATCGTCGTTCTCGAGCATTTGGTACAATGCACGAACCTCGACTGTGACCTCATGACGCTGACCGGCACACAGCTAGAAAGAGAAGATCTTTCACCATAGTCCGTAGCTGACAATGAAGTTGCAACAAACCTCGAACGTGAATCCATCTCTGGCTTCTTCCCTGCCCTCCATGAAGCGGTTAAGCGACATGAAGGGCGCCCATGTGAAGGTTCAACGCTCATACATTCGGCAGGTGTTCTCCATCGAGATTTTCAGCATTGTGGGATAGCAAACATTGTGAAGAAATTGCCCTGGGAAAGTTTATTGAGAAAGCTTGGTCAGTATAGGCGGTTCATAAACTTACTTGGTCTTCAATGGCATAAAAGTTGTCCTCGTCGAATAATGGCTGGAAACATATCTGCATTTGAGAGATCCATGAGATTCTCAATTTGGTCTTGATGACCAAGTCCTCATTGAAGGTGGTGCGCAGGAAACGCTGCATGGAACGACGGAGAACTTCCTGTGCCGGCCTTTTGAGTAAAATTCTCGAAAGTTACATTCCGTGACTCGAGCACTTCCGCCCATTTCTGGAATGGGATGTCATTAGGTCACGTTTAGGTGAAGCTAAGGTTCAATAGGATTTCTTAGTAAGCCTGCTGTATGGGTCAGGAAACGAGACCTGTGGACGTTCGCGCCTGCGACTGGGTCACTGCGCGCGACGGAGGCTTCCCGACTCATGGTTGTTGCTGGGGTGACTTCAGGCGATATGAACTGTCGCACCACATGCCCCCACCCCCCATTTTCTGGATGAGCATCCTTTTGCTGAGAAAATGATTTTTTTCTTGGCGGTTAGTAATGACATCTTACTGACCTTCCTTCTCGGTAGGAATTCCAACGCCGAGGAGGGGAGCCACCTTTGTTGAGGTGGGTAGCCCTCGAAAGAGACCTCTTCAGCTTTTGTTCCGCAAAATTGGCTTAACCCTGCCCAAAATCGCAAAAGGTGTTCCAATGGGCAGTCGTGGAATGCACTTTTGAACTAATTACTTTGCTGAACGAACTTGGCTAGGAGGGGGGAATCATCTTGGTGCCTCCCATTTCGTTACCAAGTTGCATGTTTTCCCCTACTTGGAGCCGCACATGATTCGTGCCCATGTTTTCCCTTCTTCAAACGGCAGAGCTGGTCATTCAGTAGCAATAAAAACGAGTTCTTATTTATCAACAGAGTGTTTTATCAGTGATTTGATTTGATGCTGTAGTGTTCAAAACACGATATGTAACACACAACCCAACCTTAGCGATGAAAAACCTGAGGTTCTATCCGACTTACCTTGAACATTGCTCGTTTTCCAGCAAATCGTGGTGACGTTCGATACATATTTATTGGCCCTAGCCGAGCCATGAGCATGTGATTCGCGCTCGAGACTGTTGTATGTGGCGATCATATCGTAAGCTTCCATGACAAGGCGATAGTCCCACATTTTTGTCAAGAAACTGTCGTGGTCTGTCATATTGGCGAGAGATTCCTGAAAATAGCAAAACAGGACCTTTTGCTTCACGATCACTGTGTTGGTTACGTCAAAGACAGCGATCACGATGGCTAGAGGGAAGGAGCGGTTTTGATGACGTCTTTGATTCGGAGAAAGGGCGCCGAGAGGCGGTCCTAACCACGCCCCTAGCGCGCTGAGAGGCCTAATCCACCAATGGCGATCAATGGTGTCATTTGAAACTGGCACCGCCCTCCAGCCGGTCGCGATCACTGCCTTTAAGGCTATGAGTGGAAAGGGGCGCTGTGTGTGGAACTTAGAAAACAACCTTCCACACAAAATGAAAATATTGAAGGATTTGTAAGTGCAATAATTCAAATAGTTCACATTTATGTCTTGAATAATGGGATTTCTTGTCTTGAATGGGAGAACGTTTCAATTTTTTCATGTGGTATAGATCAGAGATGGAAGATGTTCCGCTAATTTTAAGTGTGGTCCACTGTGACGTTGACAGTAGATTATGTTGTGGAGGTGTGGTACGGTTTCAGATGCCTTTCATATTCAACATAGAAGCAAAATGCATGGCAGGTGCCGTCCCATAGAGGTCGATCAGAGTCTAGCATTAGATTGTTGCGGCATGAGAACTTGAAAATTGAATATCTAACTTACGTCAACTATCATATCCCATTCTTCGCGGAATGCGCTTTCATTGAGTTTAAAATGACTCCAGGCTTGTTTCTTCGACATGCAAAACGTCACGTTAGGCATCGTCATCGAATCGTTGAACACGATGTTCATATTGGAATCCTTTGGATCATCACAGTATTCGATAACCTGAAATTGGTAACAATTTTTTCGTCTAGCCATAGCTAAAGAGGTGGAGCAGCACAATCTGAATAGCCTTCCAGAAGCAGCATCTTACCATTAGTTTCATTGGGGGCCTCAATTCCGAACCTGCTTTTCGGTCACTTGGACTTTTTGACCTTGCGTGCTAATTGAAAATTCCCTATTGCGGGGGCCCTGCGGCCCCTCAGCCGAGAACAAAAATTTACGGACACAATTTTTTAAATTTTTCGTTAAAATAAAAAGCGATAGGGTGGAGGCTGTGACTTTGATACTTGTTTGAAGAGGGAATGCGAGGGGGTGGAGCCTGATTCTCGGCCGGTTTCTTTGCCCACCGCGTATCGTTTTCGTAGAAAGGGTTCAGCGCGGGTTATCTAAAATCTTCTCTTAACGACGCCGCATTATGTCACGCTTGCACGCCATATCTTTTAGAAACTTTTGAAGGAGGGTATTCTGGCAACACTCGGTCATGCCTGTGATTACTCTGGCATGACTGAATATCTAGAATTTGAAGGCGAGATAAAGAATTCCAGAAGAAGCACGCACTTGATTGGAGGCTTGAAACGCCTACGGCTGCGGAACGGCTTCAAATGGGTAAAATGATCTCTACGTCTGATTTCAAGAGCTCATCCCCATTGACCAAGGGCTTACATCGTGGGGTAATGAGCGGCGCAATAGTCGTACTTGAAGGCAAGGTGCCGGCCTAGCCTACAGTGAAGTAGTCAGGCTTCGTTAGAAGAGGTGTGTGATCGCTATCTGTTTTTTTTTTGTCTTTTTTTTTTTTCGGAGTATTCGTGTGTCACCTTCAAATCGAAACGTCGCTAAGACGCGTAGGCGCTGAGTACTCTTGATCAATCCACCAAAACCTAATCAAGTCCCGCCCATCGTTTTGATATTCTTGTCGATATGTCGCCATTCGTGTCTACTGATGCTTACCTGCTACTCAGTTTCTACCTCTCGCCGACCACATCTCTTCATCTCCGATCCTTTGCTTCTAACCAGGAAAGGTTTTTCAGGAAATGCAGAACTGTGTTTATTTTTCCTGAACGACCCTCTGAATACCGAAAAAGGAGCGAAGAAAAATTTCATAAGAACTGCCTTCTTAAATATCCGTCAACGTAGGATTGTTTCACTAAAGTTCTACGTTAAAGGTTTGGATGGGTACTTAATTATAATATGACATAAGTTGTTTACGCCAACGCTATTTGTTCGTGCGGATTTTGGAACGCCAACAGAAAATGCAAAAAATTGTCACTGCGAGGATTCGAACCACGGACCACTTCATAACCCCTTTTTGGTATTCAGAAGGGTCGCTCAGGAAAAATGAACTACAGTTCAGTGTTCCATGCATGTACCCCTATATCATGCAAAAAACCGTTTTGAGAAAGCTTGGCATTTCCTGAAAGACCTTCCTCGTTAGCACTTTTCCGTAGCGTAGAGCAGGAAGGTTTGTATTTTTGTGGCGCGATTTCTTACCTCTTTTCTCCATATGAAAGGCCACCCATGCCCTTTTCATATCTTGAATAGGATGTCACCGAATCAGTTCCAACCTTGATTCTCGAACTGCATAGTGAGAATGAGGGCAGCTCTTTCCGGTCGAACTGATCATAACAAATGGACGAATGGAACAGTGAGCGACCGTTCCGCTGTTCGCTTATAAAGTTGATCAGTGCTATTAGATGAGTGATAATGGATCGCCATTTGTGTGTTGATGGTGCCAAATGGCGACTATTCGAAGAGAAAACAAGGAAGAATAAAGAAGTGAAACATAGCAAAAACAGCGCTTAATGATCACGTGTCGCTCCTTGTTCTTAGCCACTTTCAGGCACGTACGTGCGCCCACGTGGATTAGTCTCGTCGCCGCGAGGAAAGGGATTTTGTTGAAAAGAGATCTGTTAGAAGCATAGCGGTCGCCTGGCCCCTAGGAGTTCATTGGTGCAGACCCTGCCATTAGGTCCGCACAATGACTAACAGAGGCAAGGCGGCCTGCAAGCTTGCATTCAAATGCCACTGCAACGAAATTACAGCGCAGTGTCCCGGAGAGAGATTTATCAAGAAAGGCTCAATTATTTTGTACCTACGCTTTCTGTGTTCCCTGTTGTTTAGAAGGAGCATGAGGAGGGAGTCTGGGTAGTAGTGAGGATTTGTGAGTGCTGTTACCAGTGTTGTGCTGGGGACCTGTTGGTCAGTTTGATTCTTCCGATCCATCTCACTGATATGTGGTGATGTTTTGAGCATGGCAGCCTTTCTTTTTCGCTAATGTGAATGAAGAGAGAAAGAGCGCTGGCCACGGCGTTGTAATGCGGTCTACCTCGTTGTTAATGTGGGTGTTACTATTGATGAAGAACACATGGGCAGTTCGAAATATTCGCTTCACATGGAATTTGGTTTCAATTTATCGGCAGAAGATGAATAAACGAAGAGGCGAAAGTTTTTGCGATTCAGTCTACTTGAAAACTGGTTCGAAGAAATTAGATCTTGTTGTTGAGATTGCGGTTTTTTTTTTCGGGGGCAATATTTTGTGAGAATGAATTTTGATCTCTTATGCAACATTTTCTCCCTTCCCTTGAGAGGTCTGCAATGGGTAAGGGTAAAGGTTACCATAAAGATTGCCAAAAAATCACTGAAATTGTGAGGCAGGGATGTGGAGCAGCGGTTAGAGGCGCCTTGGAGAGAGACCCCAGATCGGGAATGGCCAAGGCATGCTCGGTCCCATTATCTCTACGCCCAGTCCTGGTTGATCCTAGATGGGCTTTTTTGGGAGCACAAAATATCGATTTGATTATCAGTTGACCTTTGCCTTTGCAAATAATTTATGGCTTAAGCATATACTTATGGTTAGGTATGCTAATGGTTCCGTAAAGACGTTCTCATGTCGTACTCGAGATCTTGACCCGCCTTGTTTTCTTAGTGTCACGACTGCTTTGAATGGTGGAGTAGCAAAGGTATAAAGTACTTGTGGGGTCTAGTTTCCGCTGCATAAAATTTTAATTGTTTCTTACTTTCTGCAGAATTCTTAATTAAATCTGAACCTGAATTCAGTAGAGGAATACTTCCCGTTTGCGTTTCGATTTTCGTGAAAAGATACCAAAGAAGAAAAATGTGCAGTTATGCATTCCTCGCGATGATCATGTTCGTTAACCTATTCAACTAAAGGCAAGTGGGTTAAATTTGGCGCGAACTTGGTCGGGTCATGTCTTGCGAATTAGGATCTAGATTTTTTGTAAGCTGATCTCGAAAATTGAAAGAGCATCGCGCATGGAGCATCTTTTTTTTCCTTTCCGCGTGAAATGATGTTCCTGGTGGTCTAGCTGCCCATGTTCCGAGCAGAAAAAAGGTTTCCGAAAGAGGAACAGTTTTTAGAAAATTCTATTCCCCTCGACGGCTGCTGGTCAAAAGCGTGGAGCCAAAGTGGCTCTTGCAAAAAAGTGGTAACGGCCACGTGCAAGATTTTGGGGAGGATCTGACTGAAATTTTCGATTACACAATTTTAAGCGTTCAACCATCTTCTTACGTGTTTAGGTCCCACCGCCGTCGTTGTGTGGCAGTAGTAATGGCGGCCGAGGTATTCAGAGTCTTTCATTAGTCTTACCTAGGTTTTTCGAATCAATAGCCAAAATCAACGCTATTCGTTTTATGATCCTTGTGAAGACTTGATCTAGATTACCTTATCTTTTGTAAAAAGCGAGGCACGCGATTATCGTGCCACAAGCCTTTAGGAAACATAGGTAGTTCGAAAGCAGCGTTGGGACTGTGGTTGCCTGTGGAGTAACCTATGATGAGTGGAGTGTGAAGATCACTAGTCACAGGGTACAAAGAAGCATCTTCATAAAAACGGAGCGTTCAATTTTCTGTGAAACAATCATTGACGAGGAGAATACACGTAAAACTAAATTTCGGAGGCATAATCGAGCCATAATCCAAAGATTTTTTCAAGTGAAATTTCAGTTCCCAGTGAAATTTTCAGAAGAAAAAATAGTTCGTAAGTGGTGATGGCACAAAGAAAAACCGATTATAGCAAGAATTATTGGAGTAAAATTTCGTAAGGGATTATTGGCAGCTTACCAGATCGACGACGTCCTTGATGGTTAGGCAGGCAAGAAATGCGACGATGAAGAAGAAAGCCCATTTTCGGGCCCTCTCGCCAAACATGGCCTCCCGGCATGAGTTGATCTTGCTTCTTTTCTCAGGCGGAGGACTGCCATAGTCAGTCACACGATTCATCCCAAAGCTGAAAATTCAGCTTTCGGTGATTGCTTCAAGTTCATTGCGGCGAAAATTCAAGGTATTTGAACACATATGGAAGAACAGATGTATGAAAGATGAAATATGAGAAGAGAATGGAAAACGAATGTCCATGAGGGATAGGATGCTCAGTGATGAAATTTCGTACAGTAATGAATTGGTTATGTGAACGGTTCCAGCAAGCAGGTCAAGTTGTTTCGGACGGGGGACCATTAGCCCTGGTTTCGCAGAAGTGCCGATTCATTAGCTTTATAGGGGAATCTCCCATGTGCCACTCAAAGGCGATCCTCGCCAAAATTTGACTTTAGTGTCCACCTTCGGGTTATAAGCGCTCGAAGGGGTCTTGGCAGTTTCTCGTAGCTATAAACGGTATGGTAACTGACACTCGAAAATCGTTAACAGCAAGTAATTTGAAACTCGAAGATTCAATAATTAACAATAGACTGATCTCGAAAAGGAGGAGCAGGACCTAGAAAAGGTCTTGGGCTCGGATGAACTGCCAAAGAAACCTCTCAAGGGCAAGGGAAAGAGCTGCGGTGGAAGTGTTACCGACTTCTTAGTTGTGGTGTATGGAATGTTTCTCGTCGGTGATGGTTTAGTTAGGAGCGACGCGCGATGTGGGATGGGGTGGGCCGCAGAGCAACCAGATGTAAGGCAATCTGCGCTGAACGTTTTTGTTCTCGAGTGGTCTGAGGGTGGTGGCGACGAAGTGCCGCGCGACTGACTGTTTTCTACGGTATTGAATCAGTCAGTAATCAGCGCCCGTACAATGCGCGCATAGGCAGAGAGACCAGTCGTTGCGGGGCAGCACTTACTGATGTGTGGGTTATGTTTTCAACAATGACGTAATTCGGCTGTAATTTGGCGGCACGAAGGAATTATTTGGAACAATGGGTCACCTGGGTCTGCCACAGGAGGGGAAGTGCACAAAATGTCAAAGTAGTCAGTTTCTGGTAATTAAATTGATCAAAGTGAAGAAAACAGGTAGGGTTACCGAAACTTACCTAACACGGCGTGAAGGCATACCGAAAAGGTACCTAGGGACGGCGCACGGTCAATAGAAGAATAAGTGCATACAATCCAGCCTTGACTGACTGTCAAGAAGACCCTCCCTTCTCGACGGCGACTTTTTACGTAACCGGTAAACCCAGCGACGACAATGTTATTACAATTGAGAAACACAGCGATGCGTCGGTGTGATTTACTGTTCGGATCTGTTGATTTTCGGGGCTGTTTTTGAGTAAATAGCCACTCTAATGGTATTCTGATTTGAAATCAATCGTAATGCTTCTATAGATCTCTGTCCTCCAGCTTCTGTTTGTACCTCGTTAGGTGTCTTTTACGGTTAAAGCTAGGAGCAGGATGCTTTTGAGAAGGAATGCAGTTAGCATCATATTCTTCATATCGATCCTTGTTGTGTGATGATGCACACAAGTATACTGGGGCATTGTAACGGAATTCATTGAAATCACGTAAAACAGTACAATTCCGTTAGCTTTTTCAGCTGGATGAGAGGTAACCAGAAATTTTCATTCCCTCGAAGACCCTGCCCCTCATAGACTCAGTCCTAGAGGATACCCCCGCATCTTTGAAACCTCCATATTCTCCTAATAATTTTCCATTCGTTTCTACCGTAATAATAATATGCCGTAATGTGGTAAGATACATGCGCCACGCATGCCTGCGCCGACGGTCGGGGCGGGATCCCGGATCGAATCTCTCCAGACCAATGTGAGCCTCCATAGCTCTCCGGGGTTGGCTTATGTGATTACCAGGACCCTGGTAATGTCATGGGGTTTAGTTCCTGACATGCTGCAATTTTAGGCTGGCCCGGGACAAGTCTTTGTATCAGGGCCACGGTTCAATGCCACTACGACTTTTGAATTGAAATAGGGGCGTGGCGCATCCCAACAGAGTATTGATCAAGGCTGAATGCTTTATATGAAATGTCGAACCGTATATTTTGTCATATTTGGTCGATTACTTTCAAAATCGAATTAGATGTAGTACGTTACTTCACATGGTTACTTAACCCTAACCCAATCTTTTTACCTGGTTAACCTCATCTTACCCTTTTTTCCTTCATCAGTGCATCTCTAACCCTTACCTATCCTAGTCTGTGGAGTCTATTCGCTTACTGCCCATGAATTCGAATCAATGATTACGAGGTAATCGAGTTTGGCAAATAGCCGGTTTTTACACTCCTATGTAGGGTCAACCGTTTTTCAACGTCGGCTGGGATACTTGAGTTTTTAGGGGAGAAAGTGAAGAGAGAAGGGTTGGAAAGAAAGAAAACAGGAAATAAAACTCAGGGATAAATAAGTGAAGAGATCTATCAAAAAAATCGTTTACGCTGCTTAATGAAACAACCAGGAAATTTGTAGCTTTTCTAAGTGGGCTTTGAAGGGACTGCATAGAATTTCGGCTCCTTGCAGATTCATTTATGTATATCATTTTTATCATTTACTCATAAATATCGATGACGTCATTATTTAATGTGTATTTCTTTTTCTCTTGCAATGAAAGGTGTTTTTCGTGCTTCTTGTTTTATTGCTCTTGCTTATTTATTTATTTTTGTTTGTTTAGCTTCACGCAGAATCTCTCGGCAGTGCTGTCGGATCCAGGCCGATCACGTTCTGAAGTGAATGCGTTCTTCACTCGACATTGGGGTGATTCGTTCGTGCCTCCCACTACCGTACCTCGATCGACCCTCATACCACCGATTTCCGATCAACAATTCGTTGCGCACTCGAAGAACACGAGCCAAGTGGGCAGTAATTGACTTGACTGTCTATGTTTCTTGAGTAAGAACTTATTTTTAGATCTACAAAACGGTATCATGGAACTAAACGGGTTCTTGCTGCTCTTCAACAGCCGTCCACATGTGGTGGGGAAGGGGATGCAGATGATCTGCCGATGGTAAGTGGTGTAAAGTATTGTTTCTAAGCAGTTTGCGCCACGCTGCAGCGTTCTTCTGATTGATGTAATAACTCTTCCGAAGCAAAGCGCGTTAGTTTAGCGCGACGCATTGTGGCCTGAAAGTTTCTCGACATAAACGATTGCGGTCGCGGCGGCAGTGCCGTTGTAACGTCCGTGGAACTCGTTTGGAACAGTTGAAGTGGCTAGCCACCTGCTGAGAACTATGACCAGGCGCTGGTGAAAGGCACATTCTAGGATAACCTCAAGGAAGTGGTCCTTTTCGAAAATGCGATCAACCCAGATCTACTTATGTG